CAAATGGAAAAACATCCTGTGTTCATGATCAGAAGACTTAATATTCTTAAGATAGCAGTGCTCCCCATGCTGATCTGCAGCTTCAGTGCAGTCCGTGTCAGAATGCCCGCTGCCTTTATTGCAGAAATGGGCAGGCTGATCCTAAAATTCGTATGGAAATGCAGGGGACCCAGAATAGCCAAAAAAATCTTGAAAAACAAGAACAAAGTTGAAGGACTCACACGTCCCAATTTCAGACTTACTACAAGGGTCCAGTAATCAAGTCAGTTTGGTACTAGTATACATATGGCTAGATGCATGAAAGGAAACTGAAAGCCTGGAAATAAACCCTTATATTTATGGTTAGTTGGTTTCCAACAAGACCATTCAATGGGGAAAGGATAGTTTTTTCAACAAAAGATGCTGGGACAACAGGATAGCCACATTAAGAGAATGAAGTTGGACTCCTACCTCATACCACATACAAATGTGAACTCGGAATGGATTATAGACCTAAATGGAAGAACTAAAACTATACAACTCTTAGAAGAAAACATAGGAGTAAATCTTCGTGACTTGGATTAGGCAGTGATCTCTTAGATCTAACCCCAAAGCACAAGCAGCGAAAGATAACATCGATAAATTAGACTTCATCACAATGAACAGCTTTTGTGCTTCAAAGAACATCATCGAGAAAGTGCAAAGACAACTGATAGAATTGGAGAAAATATTTGCAAATCATGTATCTGATAAGGGGCGTGTATTTGGAATTAGTTAATGATGGGCAGGGCCGGCCCCGTGGCTTAGCGGTTAAGTGCTCTTGCTCCGCTGCTGGCGGCCCGGGTTTGGATCCCGGGTGCGCACTGACACACCGCTTCTCCGGCCACGCTGAGGCCACGTCCCACATACGGCAACTAGAGGGATGTGCAGCTGTGACATACAACTGTCTAATGGGGCTTTGGGGGAAAAATAAATAAATAAAATTATAAAAAAAAAAAAAAAAGATGGGCAAAAAATTGAGGAGGCATGTGACCAAAGAAGATATACAGATGGCCAATAAGCACATGAAAAGATGCTAAACCTCATTAGCCATTTAGGGAAATCAAAACTAGGATGAGATGCCACTTCATACTCACTAGAATGGCTAAAATGAAAAACAGAGACAAAGAGACTGGCCCGTGGCCGAATGGTTCAAGTTCCACGCGCTCCACTTCGGCAGCCCAGGTTCGTGGGTTTGGATCTCTGGCGCAGCCCTTCGTACACCACTCATCAAGCCATACTGTGACAGCGACCCACATACAAAACAGAGGAAGATTGGCACAGATGTTAGCTTGGGGCTGATCTTCCTTAAGCAAAAAAAGAGGAAGATTGGCAACGGATGTTAGCTCAGGGCAAATCTTCCTCAGCAAAAAACAAAAAAACAAATGTTGGTGAGGATGTAGAGAAATTGGAACCTTCAAACGTTGCTAGTGTGATTGTAAAATGTGTAGCTACTTTGAAAAATAGTCTGGCAGTTCTTCAAAAAGTTGAACTTAGAGTTACCATGTGACCCAGCAATTCTACTCCTAGGTATATAACCAAGAGAATTGAAAATATATGTCCATACAAAAACTTGTATATGAATATTCATAGCAGTATTATTTGTAATAGCCAAAAGGTGGAAACAACCCAATTGTCCACCAGTGGATGAATGGATAGACAAAATGTGGTACATCCATGTAATGGAATATTATTCAGTCATAAATGAAGTACTGATACATGTCACAAGGTGGATGAGCCTTCAAAATAGCCCACTAAGTGAAAGAAGCCAGATGCAAAAGGAGGTACATTGTATAATTCTGTTTATATGAAATGCCCGCTCTAGGCAAATCCAGAGAGACAGCAGATTAGTAGTTACCAGTTATTTGGGGGAGAGAGGCATGGGAAGTGACTGCTAATGGGTACAGGGTTTCTTTTTGGGGATGATGAAAATTAAATGGTGGTGATTGTTGCATAACCCTGTGAATTATACTAAAAACCACTGAGTTGGACACTTTTAAGTGTAAATTTTATGGTGTGTGACTTATATGTCAGTAAAGCTGTTATAAAGAAAATGAGCGTTAACAGATGAACATTTGTAATTGGTTTTGATGGTATAGAACAGTAACTTTGAACCCCAATTAAGCAAATGTTATCTCACCCCCACAAAGAATCCCATTCTACTCATTCACTGGTAGACCTGTATTGCAAACAATTGTACTGAATTATGTTTTGAATTTCATCGATAAAAAATTGTGAGAATTTTGTTGTTGTTGTTGTTGAAGTCCCTACATTATGTCCTTGATTTATCCTCTTGGCCTATAAAGTGTAAAATATTTAATATCTGGTCTTTTACAAAGTTGGCTGTCACTGGCTCTAGCACATTGTTTTTTCTGCCTGGTATTCCACCTCACACTAACCCAGACTTCTGTTCACTCTTGAAGACTCCGCTTCAGTGATCCTTCCTTCTGTAGGAAGCCTGTGCTTCCAACCAGGCCAAGAAAAGAATGTGCCGCTTCTGTGTTTCCTAAGTGCTTTCAATAGACCTTTACAATAGCAGCAATCGTGCCGCAGTTGTTCACTCACATCTTTATTTCGCACTAGACTGTGTACCTGTGGCAGGCGGGGACTGTGCTGTATTCATTCTTATAATCCCTAGAGCCACAAAGAAGACACTTAAGTGGTTGCTGGATGAATGGATGAATCTATATTCATGTATAAACAAAGGGATGCCAGATACCCATTCTAGGTGAAGATCTACAGGAATTCTTCTCATTTCTCTATTCTTACACATTTTCCATTAAAAAAACAAAAACTTTTGACTATTAAAGGAGTATGACCTAATTATAAGAAAAATAATAGTATACTACCCCTACTCACCAAGAGACAAGCTCCTTGGTGACTTAGTACCTTTCTCTCAGACTTTTTAATGCACATTAATGGGGGTGTGTGCGCTTTTAACTAAAAATGAGATCATACGGTTGTACAGACTACTTCTTGTATATATTGTGAATAGCTTTCCATGTCAATAAATATGCTTCATAATGTCTTTAATAGCTATAATATCTTATTGCCTGGATGAATCTTATTTAACCAAGTTCTTATTTGACATATGGGTTGTTTCTACATGTTTGCCATTATTGACGGCTATATGATCGACATCACTGTAGCTAACTCTGTGCACACTTTGGTGATTATTTCCTTAGGCCAAATTCCCAGAAGTAGAGTTATTGGATCAAAAGTACATGTACATGTTTAAGATGTTTGCTGTATATTGTCAGACTGCCATCCAGAAGGACTGCTTGTCCATGTGGAATTTGAAAGTCCCTTTTGTCTATATAATAAAACTTTATTAGGACCTTTGAATGTGTGTTACCTCTGCTGAGGTAATAATACAGCTTCAATAGAGACACATGTTTATGATGCTCAGTAAGGAGAAAGCCAGTCTCAGCAGCTCAAACAAAAATGCGTCTTGTTTTCAATAATTATACGAATAACTTTCCAACCTTCTTTGTTTTATACCCTATGAACAGTAAAAAAAAATTGTGACATTTTTCTCTGCCTTCAGAAGCTGCAGATCTACATTGTTATGGTTCTGTCTTCTGTTCCTATTACAGGAGAAGCCCTATCTCCAGAAGATATTATTGATAATAAATGTCAGGTTTCAGGTGTGGTCCAGCCAAACATGTTAGATAAATGAAAATATAGTAATAGTTCTTACTTGGCCATCAAGCACATTTTCCTTTGGAAAATGGAATTGACACCACTCAGCCAGAAAATATGTTTTTCAGGTTCATGAGATCTGCAGACATGCCCAAGAAATTAAGTAAAAATTATGCTAATTATGATGAGCGTAGAGGGAAGGATGTTTCTCCCACTCTTACCTGGTGGCATAAAAGTAATTTTTATGTATTGGATTAAAGTAAAAATTGGGTTAGACAGTTGATAGTGTGTGATTTGATCTTAAAAGATCTTTCGAATTAATTATTATTGTGCTTTTCCTTCTTTGTCTCATCTCATTCGTTTATTCATATCTATTTCCTGACGACCCACTATAAGCCAAGTACTCTTCTAAGTAATTTTCTTAATTTTGCCATTGTCTGTCTCTTTCATCTTTTTTTCCTTGTTGTCTGTCCACTGGTTTTAATTTATCAAATGAAGGACTTTTTAAAAGGGAAAACGAAGTAGCAAAGCAATTAAAAATATTGAAGTCCCAGTTTAGGGAAATAGCTAAGTAAACCTATATCTTGGAATATTATATAGCCAAAGAATTTGTAGTAACATGGGGCTAATGTTTACATTATATTAAGTTAAATCAAATACAAAATTGTACGAATAGTGTGAACTCAACTATGCGTTTTTTGAAAGCATACAAAAAAGACCAAATGAAGCAGACCAAATTGTTCTGGTTTTCACTGGGTGGTAGGATCATGGATGATTTTGCTTCCTTCTTCCTGCTTTTCAGATTTTCCTCAGATTTTTATAATGGACATGTATAATCAAGGGAAAAAATCAACTTAAAATAGTAACAATATTTTATATCTGTTGTTTTTAGACTACAAGATGTAGAAATAGGGATTGAACCATTTAACTGTTAAATGTTAAAATCTGATAGTAAGATGAAAACCCATTATTGAACAGTGGGAAAGACAGAAGAGTGGGCATTTAATTGTGTGTATAGTTTAAAATTTATACTGAAATTTAAATGATAATACTTGCATTTACATACAAATGTCTGAGTTGTTTATTAACATTCACTGTAAATGTAAGTGGGTCACATTTATTAAGATCATAAATAATCATCTCAATAGATACTGAAGAAATAGATTATCCTGAAGTGCTCTGATTGACACTCTTCTGTGGTTTCTTCATTTATTAGTGGGTAGCATTTTGTGAATGAATGTATTTAGTAGGGGAATGTATGTGTGAAGTTGTGGAAAACAATTGGGTTTGAAACTTGTTATTCAGTCTTGTTAATTGAACCTTCTCCAATCTTATTTTAGGAGAATGACATCTTCCTGGGCTGGGAAAAAGGAGCTTATAAGAAATGGGGAAAGAGTAAGAAAAAGTGCTCAGATCTAACTCTAGAAGAAATGAAAAAACAGGCTGCTGTCCAGTGTCTTCGATCTGCTTCTGATGAAGTAGGTTTACATTTTATTTCTAATACTTAAGAGGAGAAAAAAAGGGGATGGGGGTGTTTTTAAAATGTTTACAAATATAACACCTTGACCAAAAGTCTTAGAAAAGTAGACTATTCATTATCTTACCACTGTAATGTGAACATTATCACTTGTTCCTTTTTGACATTTTTCTATATATATACAAAATTTTGTATCCTTTTTTCCCATTTCACATATATTTCATCTTGTTATTACATTATCTTTGTTCTTTTTGGTGGCTAAGTTATATTTCATCAAAATTATTCCAACAGCAGTATGATATACTCTTTATTACTGGATATTTTGCTTGCTCTTGAGTTTTTGTGATGCTGTCTAGAATATTTTCGTGTGGCTTTTCCATGGTCTGTATTATTTCTTTTGGATACATTCCTAGAAGTGGGATAGCAGTCCTAGCATATTAAGAACACTATATTTGCTTATGATTCATAATTTTTTACTTTTTAGAAAATAAGATTATTTTATTAATCTTTTAACACTTCATATAAAATATTTCTCATGTCCTTCAGCATCCTGAAATGACAAAATGGTTTTAGATTATAATCACCTATTTAAATTAATACTATGTATTCTTATTTTATTACTCACTATAAGATGTAATCTCCGAGATCATAACTACTTAGAAAATTGTTTTGCTTTTACCATGCTAGTTGAGATGGTGTGGTTTTAAGTACCTTTATAATGCAAAGTTAAATTGAAAGGGTTCATACAAGTTATCTAGAGAGGATTCTGCCCTCCAGAAACTTCCTTCCTGAACTAAGTTATCTAATGGTCTGATGTTGGGATGACCAGCTTTGCCACGTTTGATAATCTGTAGGACTTTATTCTGTCTAGCTGTCACCTACCACACGTGATTTTAAAGCTTGTTCAGTGCTTCCCAGCTATGTGTTCTCATCCTGCTCAGAGTTATCTGTGAGAGCCCGACTACCCTGGCATGTACTCGTGGTACCTTGTGTCTGCCTCAAGTAGGAGGCCCTCACATCCTAAACTGCAGTTGTTCATGTCTGTCTTCCTTCATGACGCTGCTCCTTGCGGGGCAAGACTGTGAGTTACCCATCTTTTCATCTCCTAGTGCCGAACAGACTGAGTACTGATCACATAGAAGGTACTGAATTTCTCTTGAACTGAATTGAACATTCCGCTTTTATAGAATCTCTCCTTTTCATCTTATTCTTTTTTTTCCTCTTCCCACTGTTTTCCTCTTCCCTACCCCTTTAATTTTTAACTTCTGATTTCTTGGAACTGCTGCCTAATAGACTATGGGATAGTTTAGAAGTTACTGCTCATGTGGCCATCTTAGTCAGGTACCATTTCGTTACAGCAAGTAGAACATAATTGACCTAGTTTAAAAAAGATGGGAATATACATAAAGATACAGGAATATCTCACTGAAACCAAGTGCTAGAAATGCAGTGGCCTGAACTGGGAACTAAGTGATTGGCAAAGTCATTTTCTCTGATGACCCACAATCTCTCGTTTGCTTCTCTCTTTGCTTCTGAATCATTCCTTCTCTATCTGAAGTCTGGCCTTCTCTGCTTCAGCACACACATGGTAAAAAAAATGAGCATTCCAGCCTCAGCCCAGCACAACGGCTGGTGGCTGGTACCTCACGCCATTCAGTTCGAGAGAGAATCTGAGTGGCTAGTCTTGGGCCAGAAGTCCACCCTTGATTTGAGAAGCTTCTGGGAGGGGACAGAGTTGCCTGGATGTCCACTCCTTCAGCAGGGGCTGTGAGTGATGGACAGTCCTTAGAGAATAGGCGATGGTTGGATAGTTACCCAAAAGGTGTTTTCTACGTGACACTGAAGGAGTAGAGTGGTAAAGTAATTTGGAGCTTTTAAAGGAATTCAAAATGCAGATGGTTTTTAAAAGTGAGAGGTTAGTTCAGGTAAATTCTTGGAGCAAAATCCAAAGAAGCTGCTGAGTCATAGTTGGGAGGAAGACATGAGTGGGGAGTTGCCATCAGGGAAAGGGTCTTATTTCTGCTTCGGACCAAAGTTGCTGAGAAATGACTCTAGCCTTTGACTCATGGTGCAGCTGAGGGGAAAACAAGGATAGCTGAAATCAGCCGTGAGAGAATGAAGAGCACGGGTGCCTGTCATAGCGTAATGAAGACCCTGCTCTTATGCTTGTTCAGTTGGTGTATAATTTATCCTAGTTGAGTATGTTGTACGCTGGAAAGAACTTGGTGTGGGTTAGAAACAGTGCAAGGGAAGGATGGTGGCTTGCAAAGGTCTTTGATTCTTTACATTGTTGCTTTGGAAAAATGCTTTCCTTTGCCTGGCTGTCAAAGGTGGGATTTTTGTTTTCAAACCTAATGAAGTATATTTGTCCTATCTTTTTCGTTCCTTCTCTCTCTTTCTTTTCTTTTTTTTTTTTTTTGAGGAAGATTGGCCCTGAGCTAACGTCTCTTGCCAATCTTCCTCTTTTTCCTTTTTTTCCCCAAAGCCCCAGCACATAGCTGCATATCCTAGTTGTAGGTCCTTCTAGCCCTTCTATGTGGGACGCCGCCTCAGCATGGCTTGATGAGCGGTATGAGTAGGTCCCTGCCCAGGATCTGAACCTGCGAACCCCAGGCCACCAAAGCTGAATGCACAAACTTAACCGCTAAGCCACCGGGCCGGCCCCTTTCCTTCTCATTTTATAAAAAATTGTTGCATTGCTTTTTCCTAATGATGATTGTTTTTAATCTTATCAAATTAAAATAGGCTGAGGAAATGAATGTGCCAGGCATATACCAGGAGCTTGGTGAGTGCCTGGGGAGTGAATGAAGAGGAAGTAGGAAGTCCTCAAGCCCCAGTGCCCTGTTCCAGAGCTGCCTGCTCTTGTGTGTGCATCGGTACCCAGACCCGATAAGCCAGCTCTCCTGGCTTTTGGGAGCCAGTGGAAAGAATTTAAAAAGAACCCTCTTTAATTATGGCCTATAACAATAGAAAGGAATCACTGTGGTCGTTTATGAATTGTACGCTATCTATGTATCCCTGGCTTTTATTTCTAGAGTCTGTCTGGTGGCTTCAATGAAAAGAAAGGAACAAAGAGGCTCTACATAGGATATTATAATGCAAAAGTTTTATTTTGTTTTGGCCACAGTGAATGTTTGCATATGGGTATGTTGTTCGTTTCTTAAATACCAAGGATGATGATTTTCATGGTTCTGTGCTTTGCTTTCCCACCCAGTCCAAGTGCCAGCACTTGACAGTCAGTACCAACTGGCCAGAATCAAAAGCCACTAACAAGTTTACAATCTAGTTGATTAAAATGTTAATGACGTAATTACGAGACAATAACACAGGTGATGTCATTATAGTAGGTAGGTAGGTAGAGGTGATGTTATGTGTTACATGTGATGTGAGCTGAATTCTTTTCTCTTTACTTCGTGTGTGCGTGTGTGACTATTACAGGTACAGTGTTAGCTGTTCTGTAGAAGTGTCCACGGACTCTTGCTGGCGTCATGGTTATGTAGGATGGCTGACTTCTCTGACTCCACTTTTACACACTTGTGATGTGACACTATGCCCCAACTTGATCCTTGCAACAAGTTTTACCCCACATTATAGCACATCTCTGTGACCTGCTCAGCTCAGTATTTCGTCTGAGAGATGTCACCAAAACAGTATGGTAACTCAGTTATATCAAAATTTAGTTGTATACCTTGATTAAAATTTGAAAGCACCTATGAAGATCTGCGAGCACTTGGTGAATATGTGTTCCTCCAGGAGATCATGACCTTTCATGGGCTTTATTGTTTGTTAGGTCCCACCTGTAACTGCCTTTGCTCAGTCCCTTCACATGCGAATAACATACAGTTCTCTGGGTGTTCATTTTCTAGAACATATTTTGCATTTGCTTTGATTGCAGTTAGTACTGGGGCCTATGAAGAGGAATGTTGCAACTCACACTTCCCCCAGATGGGTGTTTTATATTAAGTGATGGTGTCCCGAGCTGTCTGTTTTATTTCTGTTATCAGTGGACATGTCATATGCCTGATATTGTTAAATATACCCAAACCTCTCTTTCTCCCTTCTAAAAATCATAAAACAGAATGTTGAACTGTGCCAACTATTATTTTTTTGAATACTCAAGTTTGCTTGGTTCTGTTTATCCCCAAAGGTAGAGCTTTTTATATTTGTTTTTCTTTTGTTTTTAATAATTAGTTATATTTTTTTAATTTTTATTGAGCTACTTAAAACTGAATCAAAGCTAGTATTTCTTCTCCCATTTTGGGAATCATTAGAAGATTAGAAACTCAACAGCACTATGTTTGGGGAGTAATAAAGTTAGACTACAATTATAACTAGTTTCAGTGAAGTTAGTTTTTAAAGTAACAGCGCTGCTACTTACTCTGGGTCACTGACCCCATCTGCGCTTATTTACAGACTTACAGAGGATTTATGCCCTAGGTACAGTGGGTCTTACTGCACTTGCCTGTATTCTCACATTCAGCTAAGCCCACCAGTGAAATTCTTTTTGCCAGTAAAAGTACATCGTACGTCTTAGTATTTTGTGTATGTATTGTTTATATGCCATACAGAGTTGTATATACAAGAACCGTGTATAGTATTTCATGGCAGTTTACTTTCAGGATTAAATTTGATGATATATGTTAATTCTTTCTTTGCTTGCTGACAAATCAACTTAATTCATTTTGGATAATAATAAGAGCATCAAAACTATGATAAGTAACATTTATTGAGCACTTAAAATGTACAAGGTACCTGTCTCGGTGCTCTGTGTATGCTGTAAGAGGTGATGTTGTGCTCCCTCTACAGGCCAGACCCCTGAGAAGCCAGTGGTTACTAAACTGAGAATGCTCCGAGTTGCTGTGTTGTCACAGCCAACCCTACCTGAGGAAGCCTAGGCCTTGTCTCCCTGGGTATAGATGGAGCTGAGGCATTCAAGGAAACCTGTAGACCGTTAGGAGGATTTTGGCTTTTCCTCTGAGAAGCCATAAAGTGTTGGAGGAT